TGCGCTATTTAATTAATTGCGGATATTGAATTAATTTAATATTCGCAATACGAATGGAACCATTTATTTATTTTTTTTTTCATTTTGCATTTGTAGTGATAAGTGAACAAGGCATTAAAAATCTTTCAATTATATAATTGCAAAGTTTATGAATACGAAGATTTCGATTTAACAAATGACAATTTAAATCTATTTTTAATAAATATTAACGATGATTATCAATGTAATTGAAAAATTAAATATATAAAATTATTGTTATATATTATTAAATTATTATTTAGCGTACTTCATTTTATAAATATTAAAAGTAGTATTTTTAGCGAATAAGTAATTTGACGTTCGTAAATGTAGATAAGCAAAGAGATTTATTTATTTATCAACAAATAAAACGTACTTTTTATTTATCTATGAATACACTAGCTTTCTTTTCCTGATATTCGTATTTACGTGTATTTTACACAAGGGAATATGATATAGCAAATAGTATCTATCATCGACCATCTAAAGAAAAATTAATAACTTATTTTAAGATTATATTTGATACCTTTAGATTTATACGTTGTATTATTATATTGTTAGTAAACAATACTCTCGTACAGAATTAGTGAAAGTTTGTTTAGAGACGATTGATTAATGCTTAAAAAATATTTGGAATGCTTTCTTTCATTTTGTTAAATAGTAGGAAATTGTACTTAAAATTGTACTTACAATAATCTACTATTATAAATAAGAGAAAGTAAGTATAACAGAACTGAATAATTCGAAGCGATAAAACAGAAATAATTGCTTGTAGTTTTCCACATTTATTGCAAATTTCGTAATAGGTATCGAGAGAGAGAGAGAGAGAGAGAGAGAGGGAGAGAGAGAGAGAGAGAGAGCGAGAGAGCGAGAGTACGAAGAGTTTACGAAGAGTAAAGTATTCACAAAACAGAAGAAGAAAATCAGAATTGGTAATGTACGAGCGGAAAGAGTATTTTTTTAACTTTGCAAAAGTATAGGAAAGTACAATTTAAAGAACGAATTCGCACATGCGCAGTGCCGGCTGCGAAAAAGTGCGTTAAGCAAGGGTTAAAAGAAAACATCAGATAATTTATCGTAATGAGATGAATTATGTGCTACTGTAATCTTGTTTTGGTTTTGGTCTCTTTAATTCCTGTTTATTATTTCTAATGTATTCGTGCGTTGGGCTTAAGTAGTCCTTCTGTCTTTCAACAAGAATACTTCCATCGTGTCGCAAGCCTTATCAACTAACCTTTACTGATAACTAATGACATCTTAAAATACCGGCCGGTATCATTCATTGGACCAACTCGGTGTGTACATGCAAATTCTTTTGTTTACATCACATTATGCATTATTTATTATCGAGCATGCATATGGATAATATTCCTTTACCGAATAGAAATATTACAATGCCGTACATTGTCGTTGAACAATTACATTTAAAATTCTCCTTACTCGCAGTATGCGTAGCTAAGTAAATGTAATATTTCTTTTTCACCTTCAAACTTATACTCTTGCAATATTTATTCTGTAATTTCTACCTTCTGGTAAAATAATGAACTTTTACGAATCTTTTGTCAACAAATTATCGACTAGAAAGATCAAATTAGATTATCAACATACTTTACAATGTCAGTTATTATATTAAAGCATACAAAATTTATTGTTCCATTCATAACAACATTTATCAGACAACTAGAATGAACAAATATTTATTTATATATAGAGATATCTACGGATTTTGTATCGAAAAGCTTTTATTGTTAGTATTGATTTAATGCGAATTCCTCGGTATTACGCAATTTCATCTAAATTTTAAGAGATAAATCATATAAATCATTTTAATTAAAAATATCTCTCTATATTAATTTTTAGAACTGAAATTAATCAATAAAACAATGAATATTAAATATTATTCACTGATTTTTTTTTTTATATAAAAACTTTTTTAAATATTCTATTTCGTGAAAAACTGTTATTTAATAAAGAGCTTATTTATCTTATATGTTACATATTTCATTTCATTTAGTATTTTCATACATAATATTCTACACTTTAATTTCTTATAACATTCTCAATATTCAAGGCTTAAATAGTGAATAATTACTTTTATAAAATGTGTGAATTTAATTTTGAACAAAGATTTTTTTTTTCATTTAACGATATAACCTATTACAAAATTGCAATATAAATTTTAGTATTCTATATGGAATACCAAAGTAAAAATTCATAAATTTTTTATTATAGACAAGTAATTACGGACTAAAAAATGTCCCATACCTCTAGGTAGCAAAAAAAAAAAAAAAAAAAGATTGAAAAACTAAAAATTTTTAATGAGTTTTAATGAGACTATAAAACATATCTTACAAATATTGATAAATTCGTTGATAATATTTTTATTTACATAATATTTAGATTGTTTATACTAAATATTACGATAATTATTAGAATTATACAATTCATTTTATGGCTCTTATATTATTTATAAAAATAATTAATAAAGGTAGTCAATTTAATATAGGAGCATGTTGAACATAATTTTTTAATATTTTCAGCAACACGGATATTATTTAATCTAGAGAATTACAAATATTACCTAAGTGGCTGATTGCTGATGTAGAATGAAAATTAGCATTAAAAACCAGAAACTCGTCCCGTCGATAATGTGTATCTGTAATTGGTATAAATCAACAAATAATCGGACACTGTTTTATCAATTAAAAATATTTATTCCTATTGTCGGTATGGTAGAAATTTATGTAAAACGTCGTGACTCAAAATATATTTTAATCAAAACTGTAGTTTTAGATATTTAGAATATGATAGAATTATTGTTAAAATTGAAAGTAACATTTTATTTACAATATCTAAATTTAATAAATAAATGGATTAAATAATATTTTAATTCAACAACAGAATATAAGTTTATAAACATCACTTGTTTAAGGGAAATATTGAATTCTGGAATAATAAAATTTTGAATATCGATGCGTACGTGTTACAACCCATTTAAGTCTTTTAATGCCAAAGATAACCGACTATTTGGTGTTATTTTATTGCATGTAAATATATTGTTTTTGTATTTTATTCTTAGAGTCTATAATTGACTCGAAATTTGTTTTATCCCTTTATTGTGGATCTCTTTTAATTTTCTGTTTTGCCATATATATATATATATATATATATACATATATTCCATAATACCGATCATGTAATAACAAACGGTGAAACATACAAAATTCACTCTATATAAAATTTTCGAGGCATTGACATCTGCATGTTATATTATTATGTATATAGATATAGATCATCATTCGTTTAATAAGTATTTATTTTACATTAAAAATATTTATTTTATAAGTTATTTTATAAATAAAAATACTAGCGCTCATTCAATAAAGTTTTATAAATTTAATTATTAATTTTCTCAATTAAGTTAACTAAATCGATGTATTTCACGTCTATTTTGTATTCAATTAACACAAAAATATTTAATTTTCTTTTTTTATAAACAATCTATTTATTTATGTGATTAAAACTAAAATATAATGTAAATTGAAAAAAAAAATATATTGTCTTGCAATGATATATCATTAGTTTCGATAAATTTCACATTTAAAGATTTTTTTATAAAAAAAAAAAATGCATTACTTCTATAAAAATTATTATATTGATTGAAGTCATGGAAAAGTAAAATTTTCATAGATAAATTTGTTATTAAATCGTTGGAGTTGACTATGAAGTTCAATATCTACTAATTTTAGATCTGTGCCAAATTGCATAAATAAAATCGCAATATATTTTCTAGGGATCTGCTTAAGTGGCTAGAAAAGTGCTACTAACAAAAAATAATCGCCAATAACAAACAATATGTGTGTCTGGCTCTGTCTGTATGCGTGCATGCGTGCCTGTGTGCCTGTGTGTGTGTGTGTGTGTGTGTGTGTGTGTGTGTGTGTGTGCGCGCGCGTGTGCGTCTTAAAGTGGAAAGTGATAAAGATTGATCCTGAAAGCCTTAATTAAACTACGTAGATACTTAAGTTCTTACGTTCTATTTTAAAAGTTGATATAAAAACATTCCCAATGTAAATTATTATCAAACATATTTAGGGGAAAATATTTTTTCGATTTTTTCTTCAATATTTCATATAGAAGCATTAAAAATATTTAAAATTATTTTATTCATGAAACAATCAATGCTTTAGCGTTTAAAAAATAAACGTCAGATAAATGACAAATTTTATTCATTTCTCATTTTGTATTATTTAATATCTCATGCTACACACGGTACAGGACGATGTACTTACTTCAATAGTCTTTCTTCTACCTAAATAAACAAATATATGCCTACGTGACTATATATACATTTAATTATTACAATATTATCGAAAGGTCTATAGCGTTATAGCTATTGTGTATGTATACTATTGCCGTTTCCTCGTCCTCCTAAGTATAAAAACTCCTTCAGTCTTGTCAACCAACGACTAATTCGCAGTTCTATTTAATATTCTTATATTTAAATATATTAAGAAGATAAATATGTTCAATTACGTTGGTTGGACCAGCAGTCCAATGCCAATATCTTTCTTTTATATCAAATATGTTGCGCTTGAACAAGTCGCTCGTTTCTTAAGACGAGCAGCGGCGATCCGATTAGAAAATATTATTCGTGCATTCTTTTCAGATCTTTAAAAAGGACACGCGAGGAGCTAAATGTGCTCACTAGATTGCTAGACGACGCGTCCTGGCCCGGCCGGGCGCCACCGTAACGCTGTATCGTGTCCCGTGCATGGGTGCGCGCTCGTGTCCGTGTGCGTGCATATACCGACGGCGTATAAAGTCGAAACTCGTCCAATGCTAGCCGTCAGTTTAATGTCATAGCTCTATAAAAGTGCTTCGCACGAAAGAGACGGGAGGCTCGAGTTTTGCAACAGTTATTTCACTGATTTGTCATCAGAAAGAAAAAAAGAAAAAAGAAAAAAAAACAGAAAAAAAAGGAAAAAAAAAGGAAAAAAAGGAGGGTAGAGCTTGAATGACTTGATTCGAATTTTATGCGGCACTTCTCGTTCGCGGCATAGGTATATTCATTTTTTTCTTTATGTCAGCTAAATGACGTCGGTCGTTCAGTTTGGAAACGATTTATTAACTTTATTTGAGAAACGGCGGTAGTTTTGCCATCGCAATACCTAGGTCAGTTGTTGTTTGAAAATTTCGATTTTAATTGTAGTACGACGAGGGCTGTAGAATCGGGATATTATTGGTAGCTTAAGATTGTCGGTTGACTGGGCAAAAATTACCGGCCATGAGTATCCTTAATGCGAGCGTAAAAATATTTTTTGAGGATTCGATCGATTAATTGTTGATGTATGAAATTTGCACTCTGTATCACACTTAAAAAATTCAGCGCAAACGAATATTTTAGCAGTTACTCAACGCCGTTCCATATTCAATTCTCATGCATTAAATTACATGAGAGAACAAGACAAAAAATCAAAAAAAAAAAAAAAAAAAAAAAAAACTGTATTTCGCAAGAAGATTTGAATTATGTAGAACGACTAAAATAAAATATTCAAATATCTTTTTCATTTCATTTATCTTCTAGTCGAATTGTTCTCTAATGCATCGATGGATTAAGTTTGCCGTGTAAGAAGTGCAAAGCATTCTAAGAGGACGATAGAAAAAGTAACATGATAAGAAAGTGGAAAGCTGAAGAAATGAAGTGGAAGTGAGAGTAAAGGAGACCGAAGAAGAATTTCTATTCCGGGTCTTGTTGTTGCGTTAGAAGCCCTCAAGATGCCACGCAGTTTCTCTCATGTTCTGCTATTACTGCTGACAGTAAGTTAAACATTTCTTTTTTATCTCTACTCTCTACGATGCTTATATTATATAAAATTCGGGCGTGTATGACTATATGCTACAGATACTAGTAGATAAACTTCGGTTCAAACAATATAAATATTCCTTTGGCTATTAGGGCTATCATTCTCGCTTAAAAATAGTACTTTACATTGCGTTAAATATTTAAATAAAAAGAAATATAGAAAGAAGTATAAATTTAAAATAGTTGCGTTTCAAAATTTTATGATAATCTTTATCTTTATGGTAGATTAATAAAAAATTATTATTAATCATTTGTCACTTTTAATTTCATTTTATGAGGCACATACGTATCATAAATAGAATAAATATAATTAGTTTTAGATGTTTTATTATTATGTTTTAGATTAGTTTTATCATAAATAGAATAAATATAATTAGTTTTAGATGTAAAATATTTTTGCTGGATATTAACTTTAGATGTTCGTCAAGCAATTTTATTTAAATTGTCATAAGAAAGTATTATTGGTAAAATTATATAATAATTATTAAAAAATTTCATATTACTGTCACAATTAAATTATATATTATTTATTAGATTACAACGGTAATAAATTTGTATATCAAAATTTATCTACCGACAAAAATTCCCATTGATTGAATAAATTAATTATTTTGGGCAGTTAATTTACTGAAAATATTTGTTACTTACTATTATGATTATTATTGAGTTTTTTTTTTGTTAAATTAATCGAGTGAATTAGAGCGAATGTTTTTTTTGTTTTGTTCTTTAAAAGTTTAAGACTTTAATATTTTGTGCTGATTTAATAAAATATTTTACTGCACAATTAACGATGCAATATTTTCATAGAAGTTTTTCGAATTGAAATATTATGTCGATAAAAAAATTACAAAAACAAAAAAATATTTAGCTACAAATATAATTATATACAATATATTGTTGTATACTATCGATAAATTCTTTATGAAATGTAAAAAGATTTATAATGAATTATATATATATATATATATATATATATATAGTTGAAATATTCTTTTTCATCAGACTTTATATTAATTGAAATATGTCTAATTAATTAAAAATGTTAATTCAGTATGAACGGTAGAGAAAAGGAAATGAAAAATTATTGAGGGTTGCGGTTAAAATTTTTTTATAGACTTCTTTAAGAAGAATCGTAAAGATAAAATACGTGATGTACTTCTGTACTCTAGTGATTTACGATAATAATATTTGGCTGACAAGTGTATTAGATCCAGAACGCAAACTTCATATATATTTTTTTATTTATAACTTTCGTGGGTATCTGGTCGATGCGTCAGTCAAGGGCGGGGGGGGGGGGGCGACTACGTCTCGTTCAGAAAGATCCTTTCTATAAATTTTAATTAAATCATTAATCATTAACTTTTTTTACTTTCTTATAAATTGATATGCCTTATCAAAACGAGTAAGCTTCTTTCTATTACAATAATAAAGAAATTTTTTTCTTGTTACAAAAATGAAAATTGTATTGCAACTTCATGTAGTCATTTGATACCTATTTGACATTATGAATTTATTTAAAAAACATTTGTTTTAACAGCACGAATATTCTACTTTAGCCTCAAATATTCTAATTAAAAATTCATAAATAATACTAGCAATAATAATAACAATAACCAACAATAACAATAACAATGACAATGATAATAATAATAATAATAATAATAATAATAATAATAATAATAATACATGGATTCTTAGGCAAATTCAATTGTTCACTTACATACAATATACATACACGCACACACATGTGGTATGCATCAATACAGTTTGAGCATGCTTGATCATGTGTTTCCATGAGATTCGCCGCCCTATGTGTAATAAATCACTCTTTAATTCAAACTTAGTATCTCTCATTCAATGTCTGTCTCGTATTCCTATAGGCAAAGTCAGCCGGAAATAAGATCTTAGCGTCTCTTCTGACCGGAAAAGGAATGCGGCGAAGACAAAATACTAAATCGTTACATCAATTTTTTAAACTTTATATTTATTCTCATTATATATATATATATATATATATTCTAAATGGTTTATTTTGTTCAAAATGATCAAAGAAATTATTTAATATTTTCTTGCTTATTGAAAATTATGAATTGTTATTTCCATGCTTATTAATTTGCAGTTCCATTTCTTAAATTACGTTAATTATTATTCTAGTTAATATAATTAAGATGTAAATTGAGAAGAGAGTCAAGAAATCATTATTATAAAAAAAAAAATATGAATAGAATAAAATGTCGTAAAATAAGTTATAAAGAAAATTTATGTGCTTTCGGCAATAGATTGAGAAATGACTTATACGAAAGAAAAATCTTTTAAATATAAATTTTTCGCGAATCAAAAAGAAATATTTTTGAAATCATTAGCAGAGAATACATAGAAAACTAATTAGATTAATTTCAATTATATTAAAAATAATTACGTTCCATGTACGTTATTAAAAGTCTTAAATGAAAATAATTAAAAATTTTTTACGAACTAATTTTATTAGATTATAAAAAGATATTTCATGGTGAATATGTTTTATTATTATATAAAATACAATGAATGTGTAAGGTATTTTTAATAATTTTTTTTTTTATTCGACTCGTTTTTACGAGATTTCGAGATATCTGCAATATAAAAAAATATTCGTTATCGCGTCGTAATAACTGTCCCACGTTAAATATATATATTTTAGCATATTGAGTCACAAAAGTATAGATGAACATAATAAATTTGTTATTAATTCTACTTCAATGCGATTTGTTATTAATTATACTCCAATGCGATAATATTTCGATAAATGTCGTGTAAATATACAAACATAAAATCCATATTTCTACCTTTTAATTTAATTGCATTAAATTTCTCAAACAACAGCAGTGTGTTCAATGTATTTTCTAAATTTAATTGACGGAAGATAACATTTTCGCAATAATTTTTCAGTCCATGTAGTTGGTAGTTGTTAGTAGCATTCATAATGTTACATATATTATCCTGGATTTTTATAATTTTATTTGAATAAATAAACCTCAATACATCTTGTATGGTATTTGGTTCGATATCTATAATGTCGATGATAATCTATGGAATTTTTTTTTTTCATATTGTCTTAAAATATTACTGAAAATAAAAGTTTGCGAATAGCTAATATATTCTTGTATATGTAGAATTCTTTTATTTTATATAAGAGGTAATGTCGCTAAACTTTTCACTTCTTAAAAGCGTTTCAAAATCCTGACATTTTCGCATCTGTACTCACAAAACACATAAGGCGATAAATTATAAGTTCAAAAACTGAAAGAAAACATTAAATTTTTCATAGTTCGTTCGTTTTTTCTATCTCCCTTAGAGCTTTTGATGGAATATGTGAAATTTATTTCACCTTCGAAATAACACTTAAGAGGAGCTAAGAATAAAGATAAATATCCATAATTTTGTTCATTTTTGTTATTCGGATATAATACGAAACGCCAATTTCTGTTACAAGTGAGAATTTGCGAAAAAAAAATTTGCTATTGAATAAGTGGAACAGCGTAAAGTACTTGGTGATCGATAAGTCAGCCACGAGAAATTTCGATCCTTGGCATTTGAAATATCTATTCAAAAGTTCATGAAATAATAATTTCAGAGAAATTTATAATTTTTAATTATAATATTCGCAAGTTGTTTAAAATCTCGATCCTTATTCTTAAAAGCTGAAATTAAAAATATGAAGTTTTTAAATTATCATCAATTGACATAATTTTATTTTATATATATATATATATATATATATATATATATATAATTAATGCAAAGTTAAATATTTAATGCAGAAAGAATTTCTTTTTTTTTTCTAATAAATATCAAAATGAAAATCAATCTTAATGTCTTGTTACGTGCGTGTTTATTGCAAAGTGAAAAGTTTTCAGTATTTAAAGACAGTTCATGGTTAAAGAGATATTTGTCATATTTGTCATATAGGCAATTACATAGTTTTATTCAACATCACTAATTATCATTTCATTATTATCAGAGAACAAAATAAATGCTTCGTATTGCGTCTCGTGTATCGATTATTAATAAATATGTTAGGAGAGAAAAGGTTTCTATCAATTATTTAAAATTAGAAAATTATCTTGTTAAAGGAACTGGTAAAGTCGAAAGCTTTTTTTTTTTACAAAGTAAATATAATTACATTATTGTAGGTACATTAAAAGTATAATATTATACATTTGTAAATATCTTATTTACGATACATGAGCATAAATAAATACTCGGCACAAATGTCTGTCATTAATGAAATCAAAGTTATTCTTAAAAATGCTCATACAATTTAATTTCTTAAAAAAATGTTGTGGTTTTACAATGAAGGAGAGAGTGAGCGAGAGAGAGAGAGAGAGAGAGAGAAAGTAAAACATAAAAGTGTACTATAATATTTTATTTTTGATTTTATAATGCTGGCATTAAGTTTTGTTATTAAAAGAGAAATGTTTTTTTTTCAAGAATTTGGCAACTAGGGTTAAGTTATTTAAATTTACTATTGTTAAATGTTATTAGTAGAATAAAAGTGAGATCATGAATAAATAACAATAAAATCTTATTTCAGATAATTACAAAAAAAAAAAAAAAAAAAAAAAATTCATACACTTTTCAAAGTTGATAATAACCACGAGATTGCTATTTAGTTTTATTCAATTATTGCTAGTTAAGCGAATATCCATGACCTTTATATTAAATTTATGTCGTTCGGATGATAAAACGTTATCTTTATAATATTTCAAGTGCATCTAAACACTCACTCACGCACGCGCGCATGCACACGCACAAGTATTTATACAACTTCAGCAAATGATAGACGCCACTCCGTATTAAAAATTCAAAGATGAATATTGCTTTAAAGTAAAATAAAATAATGCAATCGGCATTATAGAACGAGACGCCAAAATACAAAGCAAGCGAGTTCTTACAGTTATACGAGAACCTGATGAAA